ACAGGGTGTTTGAGAGGATGCAATAAAGATTCCTTCAGCTATCCAGATGTTAAAATATCAGAGAAATTAACTCATTTCTTCACAAAGCCACATACATAGACTTTCTATGCAGAACTGTGTGTTTGTAGGGAAGACAGATTTTCCCAAAATAAGCCAACCAATTTAATCATACTTCATTCCTAAATAGCCACAGCCTTTCAGCAGCAGCACTGACAAGCTCAACAACACATATTTTGATCCTCTGGGTGTCTGTCTGTGACCCATTTTCCTTTTCAGGGACATTGGGTGGACTGGAGAAATGCGCCATGAGGAAGGAACTGGAGCTTGGAGTTCAGATCTAAAGTGATGTGCTTCCTCACGACTGTGAAGTCTTAGTGCATACCAAAACAATGTCACTTCCACCTGTCAAAGAGAGGATGATTTATGCTCTTATCAAATGATGCATGAGATAAAATCTAGTGTCACTGTATTGATTCCATGAGGGCACTCTTTAACCCAGGCTTTCGACTTTGATTCACCAGAGGCAGGTGCTTGATTACTTTCCACAGGTCTGCTCCTATGTTTGATGTTAACTGTGAGCTCTAAATAGATTGCTGAATCAGGCCCATTTAGGGTTACCCAGTGCATCTCAGGTTAAAGCCGTACTGCAACAGACTCCAGGTCTGGTGGAACATGTCCAAAGTAGAAATAGACTCTGCAGGTTGTATTACATGAAAATAAATATGTGGATTTTGGGAAGCATAGTATCAGAAACAAACGGCCATTAAAAAAGAGGGGAAAAAAACCCCACGAACAAGACAAAACAAAAGAAAGTTCTTTGACTGTGCTCTCAACTATCATATTAGCTCAGAGGAGCTTACATTCACATTATTTACTAACAGGTGGCATTTATTTGAAAAAATTGGACACTGTTGCCCAATGCAACAGTGGACAAAAAACAGGAAAACACTCGTTCCTCTTTGGAAGAGGGTTTCTCTATCTTTTTTGTTGTTGTTTTTGTTGCTGTAACTAATTTATATATTTATTTTTGCAAAGTAAGCCCAGTTAGTGAAAATTATTTTATGCTCCCTTGCTACTATACCAACAAAATTAAATCCAAGTTCCTGCATGATGTGACATGTAAACCATTTGTGCTGAAGTGACTGCCAGAAATGGATGGAAAGTTTTTATCCTGAAGAAACACTGAAATAAAATGCTAGCGTAATCTAAAATTATTCACTGACAGTAACTGCAGGATGTTTTGTGTCTTCTCTTTTTAATTGTCAATTTAGCTGAGTCTAGTATTTAACAGCTTAGAGCATCAGCAGAGAAAGTGATGTGTTTTCCCTTCTGATGTTCAGTAAATCTGAAAACAAGTGTTATTGTTTTTTTTTTTTTTTAAGGAAGACATAAACCAATTTTGTTTGCATTTCATGGGGAAAAAAACCCATCAGCAGTGCTGCCACCTAAGGTAAAGCACACATGTTTTCAAAGGAAGTATTATGAGTGTGTTACAAACACTAACATTTTGCCAGTTTCACTCAGATCCTGAGGCAAGTCAGGTTTTAAAAGCTGGACAGCTTCAGCTCCACCTAGATGCTGTGATCACCACTGCTTATCTCACTCAGCATTCTCCTGTGCCATGATTAAGCTTAATTTCCTTTGTTTAAGGCAGTTAGAAGTCCACAAAAATAGATAAATGGCATTTTTTATTTTTCATAATATAACTTCAGATTTTCCAGTCAGCCGCTTGCTCCTTTGCTCAGAGAAAGTTAGAACTGAGTGCCCATTTTTCTGCACCGGGAAAAAAGTAACAGTTCCTTAGCTTTTGCTATCAAACTCTAAGATTACACAGCCACATCCATCCACCTCCCCTATCCTATGGAGCTTCTCTGTTATCACAAAGCCTATTCAAAATTCCCCCAAGGGTCAAGACCAACACTTGAAAAAGAGTCTAACTTTGTACAAAACCAAAAGCGTGCCCTATTACCCACCATCTGAGACACCCCGGTACAAACTTGCTCTTTCTGGTGCTGTTATTTCAGAGCTATATCAGTTCTCAGTCTGACCACAGCCAGGAGTAGTGATCTTCACCCTGCCCCCTCAAGCCTGCGTAACATTACTTTGAATCTTTTATTCATTCGCTATCGGAAATAACAAGAGATTTCTTTAAATGACAGCAGTATGCCCGGATGACTGATCTGCCAGAAGGATTCTTTAGCATTGTGGAAATAACGGGCTATCAGAGAGAGACTGCTTTGAAGTTACCATTTGCAGCACCCAGAGTACTAGGGCTGGATCAGTTTTTACTGGATTACTTTCATGGCAAGCTCTTTTTGTCCCATCTGAAGAGTTTCTTTGTGAGCAATGAATGAGGATACATCTTGGGAACGATCTGATACTTCAAAAGATGATTCTTGTAGTTTATCTTGCAATAAGCTTCTCTTCTGAAGGAAACGCTGCATAGCCCTTGTATTGATCATAATGATAGCGCATGCAACATGTATCACTGGGCTGTCTGCACTATTGCTTTTCAATATAACTTCAAAGAAAATCCTCATAAGCTAGGGGTGTTATTAATTGATACATGTGTAGATTTATGCTGTCTTTTATAATGCAACCATTTTTTTTCTGCAAACACTTCAAAACAAAGCTGGTCCAAAATGAAAGTTTACTCACTGCCTGGCAAAGAAATGCAATTTAGACTATTTTGGGAACAGTACAGTCAAGAATATCTGTATGTTTGAAAACCAGAAGGTTGAGGTTTTTTTTTTTAGGTTTTGTTTCCTGTACTGAGTTTTAATGGAGGAAGAAAGAAAAAGAATTGGCACACCAAAGCAGCTAGCCAAAGATAAAAGTTACATTTAGAAAAGGAAAACTGACAGCCTGTGTCAGCTAATACACATTTAGTAAAAGTTTCTAATCAGAACTCAGTCTGTAGGAGAAATGATGACTGACATTTAAAACCATACCACATTATCACATTGTAAGGAACACTCCCCTATAGGTTTCTACATATGCAGACAAAAGTTGATTTTGAAGGTGTTAAACACTAGGTGTTTTAAAACAATAAATTTTTAACTATAAAAGGCCATTGTTATAACTGTTTTTTTTTTAATAAAAAAATAATGATACAGTAAGTTCTAGGTGTGAAAGCTATTATCCATGCCTTTGTCATGGGTCACTAAATAACTCAGTTATTTTAATACCCTTCAGCGTAGCTGCAATGAAAGCTGAATGCTTGTGTGAACACAGTACAAATTTGCACGTGGACAATCCCTTAATCTGAATAACTCCTGTTCTTATAGCACTAAGGGTACTAGCTAATGGGTTTTGAAGCATGCAAGTATTAGATACTTGAGCATACATACATCCTTTGCATAGCAATTCTGGCAATGTTCTGTTACAAGTAGGTCTTGATACGTTTCTGCCTCAGCAGACATGCTCTATTTCTGGGTCTTTTGACCTTCCTTCTTATACGGACTACATGATCATGGACAAACTCCTGCTCACTTCTGTACTTATTTTTTCCTCATTTTATGGAAAACTTTTTAAAAACACCCTGTTGGAAGTCTTACAACACTTTGCAATTTTAGCTTAAAGAATTTTATGGATCAATATGAATACTAATTGAAGCTGTTTCTCATTGATTACTGGGAAATGAAAAATTACAGCAATTCAGCAACAACCTTTTTCTCCTTTTGTTCAAACTCTGTTTTGAGTTACCCACGATCAATCCTCACTGACCTCAGCAGAGAGATTCTTTCAGCTTTGGATTAGGCTACATCCTACAGACACTGAAAGAAAACCCAGCCCCAAACACAAATTTACATATGCTTTATGCAACAAGGATACTTTCTTATGTTTAGCAAGACGGTATAATTTTCTGTTGTTTCCTGCCTTCATTCACACTGAAGCCGGAACTCAGGATGTCATAGTTACATCACACAACAGTGGGAAGACTCTTACAGCAACTAACAATAACAACAGATTGCTTTTTATCAATGTGAGCCAGGTTATTTTCTACAGTACAATGTAAAATGCAAAGTGGACTCCTTTCAGTTTCTTTTCTGAGCAGTTCTCCCTTTCCTGTCCTTAGCATAAGTAATATTGCCATGGCAGTTGTGATATTCAGAATAGAAAATGGAAAAAAATATTTCATGCGCAGGTGACAAAACCAAATGACATCCAACATCCATGCAGCATGTTTACTCTTCAATGCACTTCAGAGATGCTGTGCCAAGCTAACAGCAGCTGATTCTGGGGGCAGGGCCAGCAAGCGTGGAAATGGGGTCAGAAAGCGAGGAGCTGGCGGGGCTTCCCTACCAGCATTAATGCAGGAGAGGGCCAGACCTTCTGGGAGTGAGCTCATGTCTGAGACAAAGACAACCAGGAGAGCTACTGGGAGAGGGGCAACAGTGCCAAGGGGCCTAGAGATACTGGAGGTGCTCTTTAACACCTGGCTTGGGAAATAGCTGTGATTTTGGCTGCCAGGTCCACTTGAGCTGCCTCCAGCACAGCCCTAATTGGAACCATTCAGTAACATATGGGAGCAAGCATCTAACCTGTGTTCACAGAGACTGAAAATCAGAGGCATGAAAGTGTGGCATTTTCACAAGTATCTGTGTATTTTTTCAGGCAAGTTACCTTTGGATCAGCAACAGTCTTATCTTAAAATAGGTACTTCATAAAACTTCACCATACCTGTCTGGCTTCATGTGTAAAAGAAGTCTGTATCACAACAGAATGGAGACTGACAAGAGTTTCAGAAAACGAGCACATACCTATCCTTCAGCAAGCAGTCATGATTTAATTTAGAACCAGTAATCAGTAATTAATTACTTTTACAAAGTAACCACAACAACCCAATCCTGGTGGGATAGCAATTGTTCTTGGAGACACAAGTTACTTCAGTTGCAGAGATGGTTTTAGAAGCAGTGTTATAAGATTAAAAAACCAGGAACACCAAGAGTAAAGCACTTGCTGCATTAAAAGAAAAATAAAAGCCTGCAGAAACTTACCACTGAGGTAAGAGCCATCTGAAAACTGTAGATCCGTGCAAGGCCAAAGTCAGCTAACTTTATCTGGCCACTGCTGGTTACAAGGATATTTTGGGGTTTCAGATCTCGATGGACCACGCGATGTGAATGCAGAAAATCCAGCCCCCGAAACAGCTGAAGCATCATATCCTAAATATAAAGAAGAAATCAATATGCAATTATCACGACAAGGTGCCAAACATGTAAACTCCCTGTCATAATCTGCAAAACTAATGTAATAAATATTGACTTAATATTCTGTGATTCTGTGATTCTGTGATGTGCACAGGAGATAAAAACACCTATTAATATAAAATGGACAGGATGTTGCTAGAACCAGCTGACTTGAAACAGGTGTCCTTATCGAGTTAATGTATTGTTTCTAGTTGAATTATATGAGGTTGACTGATAGAAGTACAAAGACTGCTCAACATACTTAAAAGAAATAGCAAAAGCATGTCTGTAAATCCCAGTACAACTTCAAAAGAATCCTGTCCAAGTAAGAAAAATACATAGAAGCTTTTTGCTCTTAACTTTAAACCATACACCACTTTGCATCTCACAAGTTTATGCTTTGTCCCTCCCCGGTGGAGTGAAATTTTATCATTCACTTCAATAGGCACAAGGATCTGCTTCAATCAGTAAAGCTGTTTAAATGACAATTTTGCTGGAATTTAATGTTATAGAGGGAAAAAGTTTACTTGGCAAAACATGTTGTATAGAGTTTACTGAATGGGACAGAAATCGCCTTTAGATCAAAGTTTAGCACTAAAAAATCATAAGTAACAGTTCTCATTTTGCTTTCTGTTTTTTTGTAATAATGCATATTTCGATGACATTTTTCACAGCTGAAGAAACTATTATTTCATCTGTACTCATGTTTTCACGTTAATCTTAGTAACATGAAAGTAATGAACCAACAGACTCAAAACTAAATACCAGAAATCCCCTGAATTCCAAATTAGAAGGATACTGTCAGCTGGAAAATTATATTAACAAAACAGGCAGTTACAAGAAGATGCTGCAACACGTAAGAAATAAAAGGAAAAAAGTTTATTAACTGTTTGCACTTGACTTGAGTTCATGAAACTCAAGCTCTGTGTTTGCTGGCACCATATGCCCTTTCTATAGGCCACGCAGCAGGGTATCTGCCAATCCTGTTATTAGCAACCAAAATGATTTTGAAGAGGTAGATGGCATGAAACATGAGAAAAGGGAAGAAGAATAAATTGAAGTTGGTTGATTTTGTTCTTCTCTATGGACTTGGGAATTTTTAAAGTAAATATTCAAGGCACACTATTAAAAGAAATGATATCTGAAAATGGGTTTAAAAATAGCTCACTACATTGAACTTGATACTATTGCTTTAGCTGGATGCATTTTTAAGATACACTTTATAGACATTGCTATAAAATTTAATAAAATATTATTATTTTAATGTATTGTTCCCCGATCATCTCTACAGAAAGTATTACAAAATGCATAGATATTAAGGCTGGAAGCTCTAATCTGATCTCCGATAGAACATAGCCATTTCTATATGGCTATAACTGCTTCTGCCAAACAGTAGTGACAGTGGGCAGCTCATGAAGTAATCAGTATTTATTTGAAGACCCTGACACTGGAGATATTATAATGGAATTATTGATGCTGTGACAGCATTTAATTATTATCACCTCTGAAGCATGGTGGTACTGGTAAACTGAGATCCCCATTCCCTGTTAGCTGATGCCTTTTATTCCATTTGCTTCCTCAGGAAAAACTGAGATTAATTAATTAATTAACTAATAGGGATTGCTCCTTTAAAACAAATATACAAAGTGTATTGAATCCTCTTATATCTATATAATTTCCCTTTGCAGTTCAGAAATATGGGGAAGAGCTAGGACTACAGCTCTGCAGGTTTCAGTCATCAGCAGAATTAATACATGTCATATCTTCTCACTCGGTGCTATTTTAACTTAAGTCAAACCCCAATAGTTTTTGGATCAGTCTTGCAGATGTGAAGAACACGCCAAGAACATTTAAGCACACGGTTATCTTAAGAATGTACTTAACACTTTCACTGAATTTGGGTCTATTTTTTTTTTATTAAAGGTAGACATAATATCAGAGAAAATAAGAAAATAATTTAAAGAACTTAAGGATTAGTCAGTAGACCCTGGGAAGTCCCTTTCTGGTGACATTTCTGCATCCTACTAATTTGTCAAGTATGTAAACTCATTCCTGCAGTTACCAAACATATCAAGAATATTTTTTTTCCTATGACTGATGCTGGTTTTGTTTCAACTTTCTTCCTCAGACTCAGACAATGCAATTCTGCTCTGCTAGTTGCAAGTTGCGAGCAATGCCTTCAGTTTCTAAATTCAGAGTCTTCTTCCAGGCATTGGTAAAAAAAGGAAACATTTGAAAATGGAAACTGGTATATCTTTTCTTCTCCCTATAGGACTCAAAAGATGAATATAATTTACTGAAGTTCTCTTCACACATAAAAAATGAGATGTGCAGCAGAAAAGTATACCAGGAAAGTGTAAATTTAAAAGGTATTCAAAAGAAGAAGGAAAACTGGGGAAAAAAGTGCTATATTTTCTCTTCCAGAAAATTCAGAGTTAGTCCATACAGGCTATTCTTTAGTATTCATTTTGGACTGTTTATACTCTTTTGCTATCCCTTATTACTTACTATTACACATATGAACAGATTTCTGTTCAAAATTATCTTGGAAGAACAGCCCAAAGATTTGTGTGTGTAAAGAAGGTCACTTTGATGTAAAAAGACCATTTGATATTTGTGATTCATTCTTGTCCTGTTTTTAAATTCTCAGCCAGTTAGAAAAAGAGCAGAAACCAATTGCACACGACATAGGCTTATTATTATGCACTTTAAATACTGAATATCAAATTGCACAGATTAGAATTTGTTTGCACAAATTATTTATTTTAAAAAGAGGAATAAATAGATTTTCAGTATCAAAGCAAACAAAAGAGAGTGCTTTTAAACTACTTTTTTATCCATAATGAATGGCTTTGTGCTGTACATAAGCCTAGTTAAAAAACATTAGGCCTCACATTTGGAAAATTGCTTCATACTCTTAGCCAGCCACTTGCAAGAAACATCAGTCTTGGCTGTGTGTTTTCCTTGATACTGCAACTAGTATCAGAAGATACTAACCTTGGCTAGCAAATTGGATAAAGGCTGTAAACATGCACAAGCCAGATCACTAGCTAATTAAATCAGGATAATTCCACTCATCTGACGGAAATGCATCAATTTTTATGAGTGATGATTACCCAGTATTAACTCAATTACCAAGATCTAGAAATAACTGCATGAGAGTCTTCATGTTCTTCAAGGATTAGCTGGCTCCATGTCTGCTTTTCCCTGCAAAATTTTCTGTGGTATCTAGGCATACAATACCTTGGAATTACAGTTAAAATCGTATTTCAAAAGTTAATTGAAAAATGATCAATTCTACTCAACAAACAAGATTCATGCCTTAACAGATTTCAGGAACAAGCTCTAATGACTCATGATCAAACCTCTACTGACGTCTATCAGATGTTCTTTGGATATTGTATGTTTACAAACACAGTCAGAGAATAGCCTCTGTTGTTTCAGATGTCTGTTGCTTCTAATATCACAAAACCTACAATGCTTGTTGCCTGAGTTGAAGATACATACATTATACCACTGTGATTACTGCCAGATAATCATGGTTTTACAATGTACTCTCTTTTCAGGCTACATTTTCAATGTGGTCCATGCACAAATCTAAAATATTTATCTGTAACTCAGTTGAAAACTGAGCTATTTTGGGCTGCAATGAACAAAAACACTTTCCTTAGAGGCAAATATGTAGCATTAATTTTGTAAATGCCTCATAATGGAAACAGTTAGGAGCAAATTTTGTTATGGAAATGCTTCATCTTTTGCATGTTCCACCATATATGGTGAATTAATTATCACGCAATGTCAGGACTGAATTACGATGAACTTTTCAAGCCATATTACATCACAAGTCTCAATTATACACAGAAATACATCCTGCATATTCTGCCTCTAGTGTCAGTGAAGATGGGGACATGCTTGGGTTAGGCTGAGCAGCTGTTGTTGCCACCTCTGCCAAAGGTGGCTTCACAGCTCACTCTTCCCGACCCAGGGGCAGCAGGCGCACAAAGTCTTGATCTCCTACAGACTTTTGTCTCCTCCTCGTCCTGCCACCTCTTGACTCTATACTTCATTGACCTCTCTTAACCTTCCTCCAGCTTCTGATCCATAAATCCTTTCCAAGCCATTGGTTTTCAAAATACCACTCTCATTCTTTAAGAGTCACCCACCATCTTGACTTCCATCTAAAATATCTGTCAATTGCCTGCAGTAATTTAAGCTTGTCGCTTAAGACCAGTCACATTGTCTGGTATACCTTGCCTGCCTAATCCCAGAGAGGATGGTATGACTGTCAAACAAATGATTCAAGTATCTACTCAAAGAAAACAGAAAATACAGAGTTGTTGTGGGTGTCAGTGCCCAGAGCCCTCTGTCAGGGGACACTGGGGGCTGCCCTGAGCTAAGCACAGCCGGTTCCAGATGGCTCCAACAGATCCACCACGGGGCACATCTGGGCCCATCAGCCGCAGTGGTAGCACCTCTGTGAAAACATACTTAAGAAAGGGCAGAAAATGCTGGAGGGAAAAAGGAGGAGGGAACAAAAGGAGTGAGAAATGGCACAGGGAACACCAAGGTGAGAAGAAGAGGAGGAGGTACTCTGTGGTGGAGCAGAAATCCGCACTGCAGCCCATGGAGGGCCCACATTGGAGCAGGTGGATATTCCTGAGGGAACTGCAGCCTGTCAAGAGGACCTACGCTGGAGCAGGCAGAAAGTGTGAGGAGGAAGGAGTGGCAGAGATGAGCTGCTATGGACTGACCACAACCCCTCTCAGACCCCATGCCCTAGTGCTGCTTGGGATGGGGAGAGTCAGGAGTGATGTGGAGCCTGGAAAAAAGGCAGGAGAAGGTGTCCTTTGAATGTTTGCCTTTCTGTTTCCCAGTCCTTGAATTAGAATGAAATATCTATCTTACTTGGCATTAAACTAAGTTAATTTTCCCTGAGGTGAATCTATTTTGCCTGTGATGGTAATTGGCAAGCAATC